AATCGTGTAGCTGTGTTTTATTTTGCTTTAGCGCAATCGCATCCATTACACCGTCTTCGTGTTGGGTGTTCGTTGGAAAAATTGGGTGGTTTTTTGCCAACACCCGTTTTTCCGCATAATAGAAATTAAATGCGTTTCTTTCGTCGCAGCTGGATTGCAAATAGTTCGTTAGTTCATCGTAGACAAAATCGTGCAGACGTAAAATGTCGAGCGTATAGGCGGAACCTTTGACCTTTGTGTTTCTGAAGTAGACTTTCGACGCAAGGGCGTAAAATCTGACTAACGACAGTTCGTTAATTTGCCAATAATTTTCGATAAGCATCGCGTTGATCATCATAATGGTTTCACCCTTGAAGTATACGACATCGAGTGGCGCGTTAGGTTCTATAGTCTTGTAATCCTTCATATATAAATTTCGGACTGTGCGCATATGCTGTTGGACGATAAAAAGGAATCCACACATAAGTTCACGGAGCTTGGCCGTAATTGCTTGATTCATCAAATCAGCCGAAAGAGTTTCTTTCTCGCTAATCGTTTTTAAAGGGTAACCAGTATAGTAGGTTTCTACTCTGGTCAGTTCGTCTCTGATGATGTCTATGTGATTACCGCTTACACGTTCGAACTCATAATTGAACATGCTAATTGCTTGTATGATGAAGCAAATTATAAATTTACACGATTTGAATACGAACATATTGTAATAGTATTATGAGCTTAAATTCCAAAATGTTAGTAGCTACTAGTAACCGTACCGATGTCGATTATTTTTCGTTGTATTAAATACGATAAACGCACTTCTGCAAAGTATTATTCACTAGTACTGGTATGAATACCACCTATACTTAAAACATTATTACTGTTTTTTTTTTTTTAAACTTGTAAAAAAATAACGTATGATGACTTATGCTTATCAAGCTGTTTAAACCGCACCATAATAAAGTTTACTGTTGTTCGCCTATAATATTCCGGAAAACGTAAACTAGAGAAGTTTTACAAACAAATGAACTGAATTTCGATTCATAAACATTTCAGCGGATGGTTTGGGACGATCAATTAGACGTCAAACATTGACATTACGACCATTGACAATTGTCCGCCGCATGTCCGAGGGACAGTGAGAATTTCGTTAATCCATTCGAATTAATCGGCGCGTCATTAATAATACTTTTTAAATGTCAAATTAAGCGTGAACCGTTGGTCTTATGACTTTTCCACGTGGTGTTATTATAGTTGATACCGATTTATGGAGCGATCGAGTTACCAGGTAAAAAGTTGTAACGAGAAATACGCACATATTGTGGAATATACATTTTTTTTACACAAATTATGTTATAGGCATAGTGTGACGCCGATTGGGTCGAGTGTAGTATCAAATTAAACAACACATCCGGCGCTATCAGCTCACCGCGTCAGACTACCTAACCTTTGTTTGGCTCCGAATGGGGGGGGTTTTGACATTTTCGAAGCCCACCAAATTAAGGGTTTAGGGTTAACACGGTAACCACAACCATGATAACCTTAGTAACCACAACCAAGGTAACCTAGGTAACAACAACAGTGGTAACCCGGTAACCACAACCATGGTAACCTTAGTAACCATTAACGTGGTAACCTTAGTAACCATAACCGTGGTAACCTTGGTAAACAAACTTCTGGTAACCTAGGTAACAACAACTGTGGTAACCTTAGTCTCCATAACCGTGGTAACCTTGGTAAACAAACTTCTGGTAACCTAGGTAACAACAACTGTGGTAACCTTAGTAACCACAACAATGGTAACCTCGGTAACCTCAACCGTGGTAAACTTGGTTACCACAACAATGGTAACCACGGTAACCACAACTGTGGTAACCTAGGTAACCACAACTGTGGTAACATCGGTAACCACAACTTTGGTAACCTTGGTAACCACAACAATGGTAACCTAGGTAACAACAACTGTGGTAACCTTAGTCTCCATAACCGTGGTCACCTTGGTAACCATAACTGTAGTAACCTAAGTAACCACAACAATGGTAATCTCGGTTACCACAACCGTGGTAACCTAGGTAACCAAACTTTTGGTAACCTAAGTAACCATAATCGTGGTAACCTTAGTAACCACAACAATGGTAACCTCGGTAACCACAACCGTGGTAACCATGGTAACAAAAACCGTGGTAACCTATGTTATCATCTTTGTGGTAACCTTAGTAACCAAAAACATGGTAACCTAGGTAAAAAAAAACTGTGGTAACCTTAATAACCACAACTGTGGTAACCTAGGTAACCACAACTGTGGTAACATCGGTAACCACAACTTTGGTAACCTTGGTAACCACAACAATGGTAACCTAGGTAACAACAACTGTGGTAACCTTAGTCTCCATAACCGTGGTCACCTTGGTAACCATAACTGTAGTAACCTAAGTAACCACAACAATGGTAATCTCGGTTACCACAACCGTGGTAACCTAGGTAACCAAACTTTTGGTAACCTAAGTAACCATAATCGTGGTAACCTTAGTAACCACAACAATGGTAACCTCGGTAACCACAACCGTGGTAACCATGGTAACAAAAACCGTGGTAACCTATGTTATCATCTTTGTGGTAACCTTAGTAACCAAAAACATGGTAACCTAGGTAAAAAAAACTGTGGTAACCTTAATAACCATAATTGTGGTAACCTAGGTAACCATAACTGTGGTTACCTAAGTAACCACATCAATGGTAACCTCAGTAACCACATCCGTGGTAACCTTGGTAACCAAACTTTTAGTTACCTTTGTAACCATAACCGTAGTAACCATAGTAACCACAACAATGGTAAACTCGGTAACCTCAACCGTGGTAAACTTGGTTACCACAACAATGGTAACCACGGTAACCTAGGTAACCACAACTGTGGTAACATCGGTAACCACAACTGTGGTAACATCGGTAACCACAACAATGGTAACCTTGGTAAACAAAACCGTGGTAACCTATGTTATCACCTTTTTGGTAACCTTAATAACTATAATCGTGGTAACCTAGGTAACCAATACCGCGGTAACCTAGGTAATCAGAACTGTGGTAACCTATGTAATCATATTTGTGGTAACCTTAGTAACCACAACCATGGTAACCATAGTAACCAAAACCGTGGTAACCTATGTTATCATCTTTTTGGTAACCTTAATAACTATCATCGTGGTAACCTAGGTAACCAATACCGCGGTAACCTAGGTAACCAATACCGTGGTAACCTAGGCAACCAATACCGTGGTAACCTAGGTAACCAATACCGTGGTAACCTTGGTAACCACAACAATGGTAATCTCGGTTACCACAACCGTGGTAACCTAGGTAACAAAACTTTTGGTAACCTAAGTAACCATTACCGTGGTAACTTTAGTAACCACAACAATGGTAAACTCGGTAACCTCATCCGTGGTAAACCCAGTAACCACAACCGTGGTAACCTAGGTAACCACAACTTTGGTAACATCGGTAACCAATACCGTGGTAACCTTGGTAACCAAATTTTTGGTAAGCTAGGTAACCAAACCATGGTAACCTAGGTAACCACAACCATGGTTCTTCATGGTACAGCCCTATTGGTGTAGAATTTTTAGAAAAAAAATTCAGTTTTTTGAAAATTTTGAGCTAGGTCGAAATTTTGGTTTTTTGAAAATTTTGACAATTTAAATCACACAAATGGGCAATTATACCAGATATTCTGATTGCAGGCAAAATTCTCTTAAATTTGATCTAGGTTTGAGCGGATTTAGTGCCAAAATTTAGAATTTTAGTAGGTATTACTGTGTTGTTTGTGTTAGACATAACTTGGGTAACCTAGTTTATTCTTGCTGTGTAAACATATTTGTACAATTAACACATATATATGGGTTAAAAGGCAACCTGAGACATTTGTGAATCTTTTAAGTCACGGTACAGCTCTATTGGTGTGGTATTTTTGGAAAAAAAATTCAGATTTTTGAAAACTTTGAGCTAGATCGAAGTTTTGGTTGTTTGTAAATTTTGAAAGTTTAAATCATAAAAATGGGCAGTTTGACCGGATATTCTGGTTGCTGACAAAATTCTCTTGAGTTTGGTCTAGGTTTGAGCGGAATTAGTGCAAAAATATAGAATTAATGTAGGTATTAGTGTGTTTTTGTGTTGGACATACCATGGGTAAACCTAGTTTATTCTTCCTATTTAAAAATGATTTCTATCTTTTCTAGAAAAACTATAAAAACAATAAAAACTATAAAAACTTTCTATATTTTCTAGTTTTTCTAGTTTTTAAATTTTTTCTATCTTTTCTAGTTTTTCTAATTTTTTTAGTTTTCTAAATTATGTAAAGTAGTTGGATTTTCTTAATAACGGTAAGAACCAAAACTAGTCTTTGAAATAATTGTGTGCTAGTGTAAAACTGAAAAAATAACATTTATAATATACATGCTTATTGTCATATGTTGCTTCAACTTTTATATCTATAACTTATACTCATTTTTTTAAAATTAATTATGAACATTTATAGGCATAATAATATTATATAGATACATCATTTTTCCCAAAAGCTTATAGCACTATTACTGATAACAACATACTTGATACGTGTGCGAGTAAACGAAACCTGCATACTGTTGCAACAGTCGGACAAAATATCTACCAATTTTAAATTAATATAAACTGTAATTGAATATTTGTTTTGTTTTAACTATTTTTTATAACTGATACTTTTTATATTTAGTTAAGATAAAGAAAACAACAATTTTGATTGAGAAATTCACATGTAATAATATTGTAACAGTAAAAAAACGATTTGAATCAATACGTATAATTAAATATTAAATTTTCCACACAAAATATATACTAGTTTTAAATTATAATCATAATAAGTATAAAATTATCTGCTTAAAAAATACTTGTCAAATATATCATAGCGAAAAATAATTGTTTTAGAAGAAAAATCATTTTAAAATACTAATTAAACATTATTATTTGTATATATATTACCTATAATAGCCTGACTAAAAATTACTGCTGCTAGAGAACCATCTATAAGTTCTTCAATTAATACATAATAATGTTTAAAATTATAACAAAAAAAAAAAATCATTCAACACACTTGTGCACTATGCCATTGATATTATTATGTTATGTATATATTACATAATTTTAGTCATTTCAATCTAAATAACTAACAAAAAAATAAAAACTTTACTAAAAAAATTTACCAACATCTCGGTCAGGTTTGTCGTACGCATATCTCTCGACTGTATCAAGTAGTTATTCTGAGCAGAGCTTGTCTTTTGTTAAAAAAACATAAACATCGATCTGTAAATACAAAATGTAATTAACAATAAAAAAATGTAGTGTTTAATATATTTTATTTAAAAATAAAACATTCACCTCATGTAATCAAATGTATCTTGCGAGTCTAAAACTCAAGTATATTTATGAAAAGTATTTTAATAATTTTGAGTAGTAAGCTTGTTGTTGTTGTATCAATCCCTTGGTGTTAGTAACTGAAAAAATAAAAAAATTCAAAAGTAAATAAATTTATAAGTAATAAATATTTATGAACTTTGAATACATAATTCAAACTCTACCGTCGACTCGTGCTTAAGAGATCTCATGGCTTAACCCGTAATACGTACGTCCAAGAAAATTTAAACAAATTCATACTATAAAACGAATTATTTGTCGAAGAATAATTTAAAATCCAGCCAACATAGAACTCGAAACAATCCTCATCCACGGCCGCAACAGTTATTCGCATAATAAAATATTCAAATTGTCAGATACACATTTTATAAAATAACAAAATCTGTACAACTATAAAATTCCATTTTATAATTATTAACTGACTATTATAATTCCAAATATATGTTAAAAAAAAAAACCTCAAATTTTTAGTTATTTATGATAGAATAATATTTTGTATTGGTCAATTTTGATTTGTTTAATATTACATTGAACAAATACATTAAGGTCGTGGCATTAATATGTTACCATGGCACATATATCTTGATACCATCGTGTTGCGACAGATTCCTCCAACCGGGTAAACTGAATATACAATTCAAAGCGTCAACGTGGTACGGCCTTACCGGATCTGCTGCTGCTACCAAAGCGGGCATGTAAAGCGTAAAAAAAAATAAAAGGATATCACGTCCGGCTTTCGTTTTTTCGTTTACGACCATCACAGCGGTCTTGAAGTACAGGATTGACTAAAATCCGTTGCAGAAAAATGCACACCGACGATTTAATAAAAGCCGAACAAAGGAAAATTGAGAGATATCAAATTTTTATTGCGGTATGTACAAACGTCGAAAATACTGTACGCGGTGAACAACGACGATGATAGACATATTTTTGATACGCGTCAACCGGTTCGCTACACATTATGTATCCAGGTGTTGTTTTGAGCTTGAAATAAAAAAAACACAAAAAATATTGTTTTCTAATGTGCAGGGGCGGCCTCTGGGTCTTCTACCGTTGATTTCACCTATCAGTACTTGTTTACGGATACCAAGAACCTAGAAAAATATAGTAAGAACTTCTTTTTTAAATACCCAAATGAAACAATTAATATTACAAAGAACTTTTTTCTTTTTCAATTAAATCATGAAAAAACCTGAAATATGCGAAACAATTATTTTTGAATTTGCATTCTTTGAAATGTAATTTACAGCTTATCTAGCAATTTTTTGGACACTTTATATTAGGATATCCAAGTACCCCAAAAAGGCTGAAATGTGTCATGTTGTAAGCACTAATCGATGGTCAGTCACTGCACTGGTCAGTAGTGCTATGACATATTGAACACAAGTATCGATGAACTTATGTTATTTTACTGTTTTTAAGTAATATGAGCCCAACTCGAAAGTCGGGCATTAGAAAAATTATTCATCTAGACTCCTTTGAGTGCTCCCCTCCACGGAAATCTTTAGTAAAAGGCGAAAGATTTATTCGTATTGAAAGGGAACCGGAGTTGGACGATTGCCGGGCAATTATCAGTACTTATGCTCTGACGGGTGCGGTCGACCCGTCGAGTGAACTCCCCCATGACCTTGTGTCATTCGACAGGGACTGACGGCCGACAAACGTTTTTTTCCATCATTCGACTAGTCCGTGAGTCGATGAAATGCCGCAGAATTCAAAAATTTTACTATTAATGAGATTTCCAGTAAACTTTACCCGAATTTCCAAGGGTGCATGTTGGTGATTTTAATGGAAACTCCCAATGGTGCCATCTACCGGCAAGATAGTAGATACCGAGTCTTCGCCGCCGCCGCCGCATTGACATCCTACTTTCATTTCTAGAATTATTATTAATTATCGACTAACCATAAACAAAATGTTTATATGGAAAAAGCAAAGAAGCCATAAGGCCACACAAGTCCCCGAGTACCTATGACATTCTACATAATATGAACGACTGCAAGATTTCTAATGTAATATATTTTCTTTCTGAGCCTTATCTCATCAAAAAGCCGCTATAGTAAGTGAGCAGTCGGTCGCAAAGCATAGCGTTGTGCACAATGTGAAAGATTTACATCTGTGACATTTGTGCGTTTAAGATTGGTACTTAATTATTTTAAAGTAAAATACATAAGATTTTGATTTTAAGTGTCTGTTTACCGAGTGTAACAAAATATGACCTAATCTAATATTGACACTTAATTTATACGAATAAAAATATTTACTTGTTTACCAATATTGTTCTCTAAATTATGTAGGTATTATTGAAAAAAGTTAAAACTACAAAGCTTAGAACAAAGATTTAAACCTTATTTCATACTTTTTGAACTTTATGGAATAGCGGGGTTCACTGATAATATACTCTTATCACAAAATATATTCTTTCAAATTTCAGTGTGTGATAATAATATTTTTGTTCTTGATAGTACTGAAGATTATAAGACCTTAAGTCATTGTGTATCAATAATTATTATTATAGTAATTTTGTTTACTCTTTAGTGTTTTGTGCTATCTCCACCATAGTTTCCTACAGAAAATATTAATGAAAGATCACCGTCAAAACGTACACCAGTAAAGTCACTTGGTCAACGAAAACTCCAGAAAAGAAGCAAGAATTATTCTAGAAAGCAATCTTCATTCAAGCTGCCAACAGTGAAAATGTTTATTATCAAACCGTCCAACAAACCAACAGAAGTTCCAATGAGTAATTTTGTCAATCACTTTTATGCTACAGAAAAACGGTTAAAATCTCCCGTAACTCTACCTAAGAGCAGAGTAATGCTTTATGAATCAAGTTCTTATGCACAACTTGCTCAATGTGTTGAATTTTTAAGGCCACAATTAAGAAAGAGTTGTTTGATAGTTTGATGACTGATGAGAGTATAAAATGTGCTTTGAAAAAAATAACTTTTTGTGGAACTATGAACTTGGATAATAACTTCTCAGGCTAAATTTCCCTCTGCTGTCTCTTCGAGTATTACGTAGAATACATGAAAATATTATACGACAAATATGATAACACATAAGAACTGTTATCCGCAATTACTACCTCATTCAAATTCAGCAAAATATTGTAGTAAACGAGCATGGCTGGATTAATACTACGACTTTAAGGTAACCGTGAGCCCGTGTGTACAATATATTTAAATCGATAGTTAATTATAAAATCGTAACCCAATACATACAACACAAAAAAATGTTGATAGATTATTTTACCTATTGTTGGACATATATGGTTCTGACATTAACGACAAATAACATTTAAACCATCCGACTATTATAATTATTATTGGCTTGATAAAAACTGAAATATATATCACAAACATGTTGGTTTGTATTTAGTTTTTTTGTACCCTTAATATTATTTTGGTTAACTGGATAGAACAATGTTAAATACATTTACTTTTATGCTTTTGAAAACTATGAAAAATGTCCCTTATACTAACAGCCCAATAGACTTTTAACCGCCGAATTATGTATTCAAAGTTCATGGGTAACTTACTTATAAATGTATTTACTTTTGAATTTTTTTATTATTTCAGTTACTAACACTAATAGATTGATACAACAACAACAAGCTTACTACTCAAAATTATTAAAATAGTTTTCATAAATTTACTTGAGTTTTAGACTCGCAAGCTACTTTTGATAACATGAGGTTAAAGTATTAGTTTAATTTTTAAATAAAATATGTTAAACACTACATATTTTTTATTGTTAATTAAATGTTGTAATTACAGATCGATGTTTTTTTAACAAAAGCCAAGCTCTGCTCAGAATAACTACTTGATACAGTCAAGAGATTGCGTACGACAGGCCTGACCAAGATGTTGGTGAATTTTTATTTTTTTGTTTAAATTGAAATGACTAAAATTATGTAATATATATATATAACATAATAATATCAATGGCATAGTGCACAAGTGTGATGAATGATTTTTTTTTTTGTTATGATTTCAAACATTATTATGTATTTAATTAACCTATGAATGGTTCTCCAGCAGCGGTAATTTTTAGTCAGGCTATTATATATATATATATATATATATATATATATACAAATAATAATATTTGATTAGTATTTTAAAATGATTTTTCTTCTAAAACAATTATTTTTCGCTCTGATATATTTGACAAGTATTTTTTTCATCTCTGAATATTCTATTATGTGTATTATGTCCATTCTACATAACTCATTTTCTCCGGAAAAAAAATGCACTCATCACACCTGTGCACTACTATTGAAGTGTATTTAATACTTGGTATGATTTAAATTAATAATAACAATAACTTTAAATTAAAACTATAAAACTTGAAAACTACAAATTATATACATGCATTGATTTCATAATTAAAAAGTTAATAGGTAATTCAATAAAATCGCTCAATAAATATTTCAACAGTTAAAAAATACAATTCTAGCAAAAAATAAAAATTTGAATACCTAATAAAATAAAATAATTATTTAAATCCAAAGCACAAAGCGCACTAATGTCTTAATTATACTGGATTAATTTAACGCAAGCTAAAGATAACCGACAGTTTTTTGTTTTTGCATAAACATTAAGTTTTTACATCATAATAATTTTATTTTTTTTTATTTGAATATTGAATAAATAATAAACTTAATTTATTTGTTATGAATTTTACTATTAATTAGATAGTATTAATTTAATTTAAAAAAAAAATAAACTTGAAGGCTAAATTTACTATGTGTTTAATTCAATATGAAACAATAATTGTATACCATTTTATGTTTAACAAATTCACTATTTCAACTATTTTTAAGGAACTTTTTTTTTATTTATAAAAGAGTTTCACGTTATTTATTATTCATTGACAAACTGTATATACAAATTGTATTATACTTTTATTTTGTTGCAATTTCATCTAATTTTTTTTTTCTTTATCCAGATAATCAAAGACATGGACGTCAAAGGAAAGAACGACAATCGGATGTATTATCAAACTGTATGAACTCCTTAACTTTAATTGAACTCGAGTGCCAGCAAAGAGTTCGCATAGGACTATTGTCAATTCAATTTGACACATCGTCATACTGATTTTTTTTTTTATAACTACGTGTAAAATTAATTTCTTTCTCTTAGATTGCTTGAAATATTTTTATGAAAAATTATGTTTGTTCATGAATCTAATATCAGAGTAATATTATTATTATGTATACTGTACACAAGTTAAAAACTGCATAGTTACTTTATAATTGAAAAAAAAAACCAACCTAATAAATTATTAGTAAATAAAACGTTTA